ATATAGAAATAAATCTGAAAACATAAAAATAAACGAAATTACCATCAAAATATATATCCCGGCAAGAGGAATCCAACGGTGGGTGGCCCTTCAAATTTCGACGGGTGGAACACACAATAAAGCTCCGGCAAGACCACCGTCGTCGAATGAAAAAAAAATTGCAGAAACAGATCAACGCTCGAAACTGAATGAAATCACCACCAAAAGAAAGAGCTCGACGAGAGGAATCCAACGGTAGTTAAACCATCGAATTCCGACCACCGGAGAGAGAGTTATGGCTCCGGGAAGCAATTTCGCCGGTGGGAGGTTTGTGGAGGCGGGATTTTGAATATGGGAGAAGAAGAGAGAGACCGAAATGTGAGTGGTTAGGGTTTAAAACTGATTTTAGAAGGGTATTATAGGAACTTGAGGGTGGCCCAGGGGGTATGTCAAAATATTTTCGAAATGAGGGGGGTTTCTCCTAAAGTATAATCCACTTGGTAGTTGGTTCTATATAATTTGGAAATGAGGAGGTCTACAAAATAATCCTTAAATTTTAATTAGCAATAAATATAAATTTAAAATTGCATTAAAATAGAGAGGGTAAAATTGACATTTCATTAATAATTTATAATTGCCGATTTTTTTAAAATAATTATTGTACAAAGGGTATTTGCGACAATACATAAATGAGGAAAAAATAGGTTTTTTTGCTAGGACATGTGTCACAATTTAAAGGGGATATCTCATATAAGTTTAAAATACACGATCTCACGATAGAAACATCCCAGATATTAACTCCATTTAATTTATTCACATATGCATGTGACAGTTGACGAATCAACCCAACACCCAATTCTAATATGACCAGAAGAAAAGGACTGGAATCTTTTCGTGTACCTATTTTCATTTAATTCTTTGTTCAATTATTTCAGAGAGAGAGAGAGAAAAAACAAACAAATTAAACAAAAAACCAACAATTGAAATTTGGACGACGTGCCCTAGATGAACAGTAGCAGTTGAAAATTTGAGGGGGGCAGAGGATGACGTAATCAACGTCGGAGAGCAGTCATATCTGACGGGACAGATGACGATGTCTGACGTGGGAAATGACTGATCGACGGCTGATAGCGACTCTCTCGCTCTCGTGACTCGTCTTCCATATATAGCTGCCAGCAGCAGCAAGCACCCCCGCGTTTTGCGCGGGAGCTTTTTCTTTTTTTTCTTTCACATTATAATTAAAAATACATTATTATATTATTGGGTTCTGCCACGTGGAAAATCAAAAACAAATCATGTTTCTGCCTTTTTCTACTGTGTGTGAAATATTTGATACTGAAAGCTGACTGACAGACGTAACGTAACTGCTGGTTATAGGGTTTGACTCACCCACAGTGCGATGTCTTTCTCTTGTTTTTTTATCTTTCCATTCCTTCTATTTTTAGTGGTTTTAATTTCTTTTTATATATCCAAATTTAAATATTACTTAAATAAATATATAAATATTATCTCTTTGGCTGGTTGCGTGTATGAGTGAGTTGCTGCGGGTGTTATGGAGAAGCCATTTTCTTTTCTTTTCCTTCTTTTTCTTCTATTTTTTTCTGAAGATATATGGCCACGGGGCGGGTCGAGTCCAGGTCCAAATCGGACCCGCCGGCTCCGGGTCCGATTTTTAGGGGACCGGAAACCGACACGCGGGGAGGCGGGTCCACCCGGTTTTTCAATTTTTTTTTTTGTTACAAGAAAGAAAAAAAAACTTATATTGAAACTTAAAAAAACCTGAGATTAACTTAAAATTCAAATTTAAAAAAATAATTGAATTTAAACACTAAACAATTTTAGAGAAAAAAAATGAAACGAGTAAGACTTTGAGACATAAACTAAATAAAATAAAAGTTGTGAATATTGAATTATGGGTATTTATAAGTGAAAGTAATAATTGAGAAATTTTTCAAAATTTCAAAATTCAAAAACTTTCAAAATTCAATCTTTCTTTCAATTAAATTATTAACAAATATAATATAATAAAAAAATAAAAGAAATTGAAAGGACTTGAGCTTAATTCATTTAAATCTTACGATTCGATTCTAATATTTGAATAAAATGTAAATGTAAAAAAAATGATTGATTAAATCATATGACTTACGATTTAATTCTTACGATTTTTACAAATTAAACTAATTATTAAAAGAGAAATCACATCATAATATTTTGATTATACTCGTCATATATAGTTTTATTTTTAAAGTAAAAAATTAATTAGAATTAGATATAATCTAGTTTTGTTAAAATAAACATCATCTATATTTTTAAATAATTATCTTATGATAAAATAATCAATAATTTTAATAAGTTCTTGTCAACAATTGAGGTTAATCAATTTAAATTAATTGAAATGAGTTATAATCTATTTTATTTTAAATAAACATCTTATTTTATTTTTCATTCGAATTTTTCACACTATCGATTTTAATAACATAAGTGAGTTTGTATTAAGTCAACGCGTTTGTTTATATATTGAATTGATTCAATACTTTATATTTTTCAATAGTGGAGATTATATTGATATAGTAATTAATAATAGATGTTTTGAAGTATTGAACCGTGATTCTATATATATTTTTAAAAGTTTCTTATATTGCATTTGTTAATAATTTAATTAAAATTATTTAATAATAATTAATGTGAAAATCACTAATATATTTAACATATTTATCATTTTACACTAGCGTTTTATATTATATATATTTATTGTCTACATTTAATCAAATATGTTCGTTGCCCCAGTGGTTAGAGTTGTCCAATTCTGCCCATTTTACCCGAGTTTGAATCCCCCAATGTCCAATTTTTTGACAAAAAAAACCCAAAATCCGGGTCGACGGGTCCCGGTCCTCAGGCCCCCTCGCCGTGTAGTCCTGTCGGGTCTCGGGTGCAAAATATCTGGACCCGAAACCGCCCCGTGCTTGCGCGGGTCCGTGGTCAATGGGGCGGGGGCGGGGGCGGGGCGGGGCCGGGTCCGGGTCAAACCCAGCCCGTGGCCGTGTCCAGTATGGAGTAGTGTTGTGCATGGGTCGGATCATACAATAATCGACAAATTACCTATCCAAACCTCACCATATATCCGAGTTTGCTGAAAATTGAGAACCATTACCGGTCAGACTTTTATGGGTCGGTATCGGGTAAACAATGGTAAACATCTTATTATACAATAATAAGATGTTTTTTAAAAGTTTTTTCGAAAGAAATTCAAACTTTTGGGAAAACTTATAATGTTAGTAAAAATGTTAACTTTAAAATTAAGAGTTTTTTTTAATTTTATTATTAAACTTCTACAGTCACTAGGCCAAAATGCATTTCAGGCGACGTTTTTTTTTGCGACGAAATTGGATATGTCGCAAGGGTTATAAATTTGTGTTTTGAGTTTTTGAGTTTTTACTTCTTTTACGATGTATTATTTTAACATTAAAAAAATAAGAATTATAATTAAATATTTACAATAAAATAATTATTAGAAAAGTTGGTTGGCGGATATTACCTGACCAACCGGCTTATGATTAAACTGAAAACCAGTGACCGACCCATCTATGTATGAGTCGGTTAAAATTATCGGTCCGACAATAAAATTATCGCCCGAAATAAGCGGGTCGAAAGTGAATCGGTTGGCCGATGAAACCGATCCATGCCCCCGATCAATGTCCATCCCTATAGTATGGAGTGTTGAATGATCATCTCAACCAACGATTTAAACAGTTAGTGAAATATATCATTTAATATTAATATTATCAATACACTCCTTCATGTGCAAGTAAATTACATTTGAAGCAAGCACTTAAAATATTTGAAATGAATGTGGTATTCGATGTCACACATTTTATTTAATTTGGTTTGACTCTATACAATATCAAAAAGTTATATATTTGAAATGGATGTGGGATTCAATGTCACACATCTTATTTGGTTGACTTGACAATATCAAAAAATTATATGAACCAAAAGGTTAAATTATTAATGAAATTTATTATTTAATATTAACTCACCAATAAGGAGAGCTCACTTTAAAGGAACATCTACTATTACATATTATCAAACCAAAGAGATAAATAAGCCATTTTATCACAATATCAAATATTTTTTTAGTGTTGGTGTTAAAAAATGAGAGGTAATTTGTTCAATAAAGATTTTTAGATATGCATTTATTAGATATAAAATATTAAACAAGATTTTGTGGCTAATTATAGCCATGGATTCGTTTTTATTTTGTTAGACAGGTGCACGGCGTTGCACGTGCCTTATTAATATTTTAACTTATTTCTTAATTTTGTATTGTATTTGCTCTACTTTATTGATATAATAATGTTTATTATCTGTTTTGGCGGACAATATCTCTTTGAAATGGTTAGTTTTATTGATAAGTGTTTCAGTTATATTAGTTTTTTATTTTAGAAATTATTGTTAATATTGCATTTTTTAATATTTATTTTTTTAAATTTCCATAATATCTCTATTCCTCTTCTCTATGAAACACTTAACTATATATCTGCTAGATTTAGATGTACTGTCCAATTTTTTTGATTGGCCTGTAATTTTTTAAGGGGCGAAATTGAATAGTTGGCTATTTTGGTTGGTTTCGTGTTCGATACGAACTGAATTTAGTAACAATGAAAATTCAGATATGAAGAATATATGTACCAACCAGATGTTCAAAATTCTCAAGTGTCGATTGGGTATATGCATATTTGGTGAAGATGATCCTGTCAAAAGTGGTATGCATATTATATCAGCTATTTGTGTGATTGAATGCATTTTTTTATTGGGTTTTATTTTTTTAATTCACAATTGCTAGAAACCATTTTCAAGAGGTTTGTTTGTGCATGAAAGATAATCCTTAAGAGTTTTTAGGGAAAATATTTAGGGAAGATAAGATAAATTTTGATGGAAATTTATACAAAATGTCTGTTAACATTATGTTTTATTTATTCTAAGGGAAAAAAAATTCTAACAAAAAAAAAAATGATAACTTATGATAATTGCTTTTGACACCAATGCATCAAATTATTAAGAATACCAAACTTACACAATGAAGTATTTTTCTTGCAAAAAAGACTGAACTCATAATGGAAAAAGATCAAATACTCTCAGCAGGCTCTACTAAACTCTCTCATCACACAACTTATCTAAAACCTCCAAAATATGGAGGGAAAATCAAACAAATAAGTCCAATTCTACACATTAAAAATGTACACCAAAAAAAAAAAAAATCGCCTGAGTTTCTACAACCTAACATGATCGCTTCCCGGACTTGCCAGAGTTAACACCACACCCTGAAGTTCAGTATTATTAATAGCCCTCGAGTCTTTCTCCAATCGAAGAGTAGTTCCATTTTCCGGAGAGAATCGAGCTTTTTTTACGGGCAGGTTTGTAAGCCTCGGATAAGCAACACTTGCATTGTTATTTACGCCCGAATTTTCATGATTAAAGCCGTTATGGTGTGCCGGAGGTAATGAATGTTGTCCAAGAAAGGCACCTCTCGAAACAAGATCGGGTCCCTTCGCATCAAATATTAAAACAATAAACTTCGAATATTTAGATAGAAACTCAAATTTGTTGCAAAATGGATTAATTTCGTTAAAAAGTTACGAGCGCTTACCGGAGAAAATAGAACTCCTCGAAAGACCTTTCCGTTAACAGTAGCAGTCATTAGGTAGCCCGAATCGAATGCCACGTCAACATGGCCCCGAACTTCAGCTCCAATCTACGGTGAAAAAAAAGCAATATCAAATTATAACCAATGACCGAATAAGTGAATTAATGTAGAGGAATTAAATAATAAATTTGTCGTACCATATTTCTGAATTTCCCCGCCTCGAGGGATAACGATTCCGCTCCATTGGTGCAAATTACGTTCGGATTTTCTTGATTTATCGGATTTCGATGATCCGAGGATTTAAAATATATATCTGGACATGTCCCGGGAATAGAATTTCTGGGATAATAACTTGGACCGTAATTTTTTTGCCTAGACAATGGATGAGTTCTAGACGAAGGGTAGTTCGAGATGCTTTTCTTCGCGGGAATCTGATCCTGATCAGATTGTGAAGAGGACGATTGTTGTGATTTCGAAACGGAATGTTTCTCGAGCTCGAGTTTTTGTTCGGTCAGCGCCGAGTTATTATTACTAGTTCTTCTCCTCTTAGGATGCAACATATCTTCCTTACCAAAAAATAAAAAAATAAATAAACTCAAGTGAATTTTCGTTTTTTTTTTTTTTTGTCATGAGAAATAATTAGTCGAATGATAGAGATCGACAAACCGGAACTAAAGTGGAAAGATTGTTTGGGGAGCTCTTCGACTTCCTGCGACGATGATAAATCTTCGTTGTCGCATACAAATACTGTCGACTTCTGCACATGTTTCGAATAGAAATTATTGTTAGTATTACATATCGGCTTCGCGCGACGCATTTATTTAATTATATAAGAAGAGAATATGTAGTAGTGTTACCGAATTATTATTCTCCGCATTTCTAGAAAACATTTTTATTTCTTCTTTGTACGTGCTTCCGAAAGCTCGACTACAAGTTGGTGAATCGATCTGTAAGATTAGTAACTCGTTTAACGGATGCTCGTCCTCTCCACACCTGCCAATTAACAAATTTATGATTACATTTAAAACTTATAGTAATATAACGAGAGAGTTGTAAAATTGCATGGTATATATGTATATATATGTACCCTCCAAAAATGGCAATTCCGAGGTTTGTGACGGTGGCGGTATGGGAAAATCGTCCTTGAGATTTTTGAGAACATATGTCGAGCTGAATCCATGACAATGTGATTGCGTCGAGTACCCAAAGATCGTTGTAGTATTGTTTGTCACCGACTCCTCCGAGCACATAAATCTGTCGATTATTATTTATATCATCTTTGGTTATAACATAATTCATTTCAAGAACCATTCAAATAAATAATTGGAAAAAGAAAAAAAAAAAACAGAGTCTAAACGAATTCTTGAATAACGTATTCACGTATCAAAGTTTGAGAATGTATTGCATTTGCTACCACTGAGTTATACCGAGTTGCTACAAAAAACCCTCGTGTTACAAAATATTTCCAACACAAATCTTATATGATCCATTTTTTTCAAAACAAAATCCTCATGTTACTATATAGTGCGTTTGTTGGGGGCAATTTGCTAATAAAATTGAATCATAGGAGCGATTTTGCTAACATTTATAACACAAAGGTGTTTTCAACAAACACAAGGGTGTTAAATGCAATAATCCCAAAGTTTTACGATTTATTACCCGCTAAATGTTTCATTAGTACAGTCTGAAACACAAAGAAAAAAACTAAACTTGCCTTGGTCCCTATACTCACAGCAGCATGGCCCGCACGAGCACCGGGCCAAGGTCCACGAGCATCGACCTGCCAAAGCAAATATTACAAACTTAATTAATTATTACGTTATTCGATTTAATTCAATTCGCAACCTAAAAAAAAAAAAAAAGTTCACACCTTGGACCAAATCATCTTATTAACATCGAGCACACAAACATCGCCTTGGTATCTATCGCCCGAGTCTCCACCAAACACGAATAGCCTATTCCCAACCGCCACCGAGCTATGGCTATCGCGAGGAGCGGGAAATAAATTCCCACGTACATTAGGCGAAGACCATTCCATATTTTTCAAATCCAAAAAATGCAAATCGTTTAAATAATTGGATTCCCCTCCTCCACTGCCACCAAACACCACCAATTTATCTTCACCGATAACATTAATCGTGTGGCTCTCACGAGGGGAGGGAGGATTTCCAATGCACGAGGGTTGACTCCATTCTCGAGAGAGGAGATCGAGAATGTGAAGGCCGTTGACTTTTTTGGAACCGTTGGTGCCTCCGAAGACTAACATCTTGTGGCCCACGAGTACTGCGCCGTGGCTGTCGAGGGGCCCCGGCCCCTGCCCGGAAGTCTTGAGAATATTCCATGCCATTGTTGAGAGATTGCACACGAGCACGTCGCTGAAGTGCACGCCCCCACGGCATCCCTTAATCCAAGAATAAGTACATAGATAAATAAACCGATCGACTATACGATCGCGAATTTTTTTAATTTCCTTGACATGCTTCGATTTATACGGTAATGTACTCCCTTATACAATGTGTTTGGAGGTGGTGCAATAATATCCACAATGATTTAATTCTCCAAAGCCTAAAGCATAATTCCAAAAATTCAATCTACATAACTTTAGTTACTCCTTGAGAATTTTTTTTTTCTTTCCTTCAAGAAAATAAAGAATTACATAGTTGGCCAACCAAATCTCTCTCTCTCTCTCTCTCTCTCTCTCTCTCTCTCTCATGACCAAATGCACGAGAAAAACAAAAAAAAAAAAAAAAAAAAAAAAAAGAAAGAAAAATCAAATAATTTCTTGTAAAAGAAAAGGAATTTTCAAGATTTTCAGGACTATAAAAAGGACAAAACAATAAATAAAAAAAACCCTCATTCAAGAAAGTGAAGTAGCCCTCTTCACCAAATTAAACATTTAAACATCAACAAGTACACATAAAGACAGAAACAAAAGTTCTAACCAACTCAACCAAAAACAACACAAGCAAATTTAACTACATATGCTCACACCACCACCAAAAACTAAAAATAGAACAACACTACCTAATTCCAAAAAAAAAAAAAAAATATTATACAATAAATAATAAATAATATATAAAAAAAAAATACTTACACCAAAAATGTAAACTAAACCATTGAAATAGCAAGCCGAATGCCCCCATCTCTCAGAAGGGTTAGCACCAAACATCTTTGGATAAACCAGCATTGCCTTGTGTTGTGTTGCAGTTGATGCTTCTCCACCCAAAGAACCCATTTTTATTTCTTTTTTTATTGTTCACGTTAGTGTATTACTGTGTGTGTGTGTGTAATAAAAAATATATATATATGTATGTGTATATATATTGTTCAATGCATATAGCTAATAAGGTTGTGACAATGATGGGTAGAGAGAGAAAAAAAGAAAAGGGAGGAAGGCAAAAGTGACATATCAAGTATCAATGTCAATTAGACATGAAAAGATGGGCGCTTTCAAGTCCTAATCACTGTGTCACCAACACATCAAAACATAGGGTCCGATTATTTTTTTTTATCAAGTTATAAAAAAAATTAAAATAAAAATTAAATAGTGATTTATTTATTATTTATTTGATGCTGCTGCCTGGAATAACCACAAATTAATTAATTGGAATAATTTAAAGAAAATTAAATTATTCAAGAGTCAAGGATTTGTTTCTCGTTTTGAACGGGTGATCTCACTGTAAGAAAAAGTTGCATTAACGATATCCCAATTGAGATAAATGCAAAAGTTGTCACTTAATGTATAAATAAGTGACAATATTTTTTGTTTTTTTCATTAATAACTCTTTTTGTTGTCAATTAATCCTTATTTATGTTCACTATAGAGCATTAGCGGCACCCAATTAGTGACAAGCATAGTGACAACACTTTTTGCCTAACTATATGAAAAATAAGTATTGTCACTCAGTGCAAAATTAAATTATTTAAGTTTGTATTGTTTAATCTAATAAATCTCATATATTTTATAAATTATTGCAAGAATGAATTTACTTATTGTGTATATTTATATGGTTAGTAGCGATTTGATTTCATGTAAGATAGAATAAGAGTTCATTACATGTTTCTGAGTGTGTGTGTATGCGCGCGGGCGCGCGAGAGAGAGTGTGGTGGAAATGTGTTTTAAAATCCGGATATGACCGAACAGTTTAATCGGCTAAACTGCGAACTGTTGTCTTGCCCAGTTTGATTGCGCCAGTTGAACCGTAATATCATAACTCCAATAGAAATTGAGGTTTTTTCCCAAAATTGTGCATTTTTTATTTAAAAAAAATTAAACAAAAAAACATCTTTTTACTACCCAATTGAAAAGAGAAAAAAAAAAAAAAAAAAACAAAACAAAACAAAACAGAATACAAAACTATGAATTTGGAGAACTTATTTTAGATTATAATTTCTATAATATTCGAAACGATGAGGTTGACATATGTGTGACGAGGTTACCATATGTGTGTGTTGATAAATTATGTATGTGAAAAGAAATAGGTTTAATTTACGTTTCAATTGGAGTAGAATTATTAGTTAGTGTGTAAAAGAATTTAATCTTTATTTACTATAAAATTATATATATATATATATATATATATATATATATATATATATATATATATATATATATAATTATAAAGTGGAAATTACTAGAGTTTGTTTGGTCTCTGCGAATGTGGTTTCCCATGTTTATTTTTTATTATTATTTTATTTTATTATTATTATTATTATTATTATAAAGTGGAAATTACTAGAGAAAATGCTTGAAAATGTGTGTGTAGTATGTGTATGTGTAATATTGGGATTGATGGGGTAGAAATTTTTTGGCAGAGGCACCCAATTTTCAAGGTGGTTTATAAATGGTGACGTGGATCAAGAAAATGTGTCTTCTCAAGGCTTTGTAAGAAGCGTGGGGCTCTGTGTTAGTGCAAATCTTTCTTTCTTTTCTCTTTTTTTTTCTTTCTTTTAGTTTTTGGGAATTGGAGTGGGCACTGTTTCCCTCAAATACCAAGAGGTTTATTTCTTAATTTTATTAAAAAAAAATTGTTAATTTATGAGAACCCCTCAAAACTCATTTATCTAATGTATGGATCTATCTTTGTTTTCTATTTACCAGTACTCTCCTTATTTGACTTTTATAATTACTACCATTTTTTTTCCCCGTGAGATGCACGGAATCATATTTTAAAAGTGAAAAAAGATAAATTAATTTAATACATAGTAAAAGAAAATATAATACACTAATATATTAAAATTTAAGAAAGTAGTATTGTTGTTATTTTATATAACATTAATTTTTTTACGTAGTAAGTTTTATAATCCAACAAATAAGTTAAGATTTAACAATCAAATTTCTATCTTTATCTCTTAAGATTTGAGATATATTGATGAAAATTAGTACAGAAAAAAATATTAAAAATAAATAATTTCAGAAATGTCATTAGGGTTTTTTAGGGTTGCCCTAGCGTTTCTTTCTTTTATATATAAGATGAAAAGTAGGAGATTGAAGTCGGAAGAATTTTTCACGGTTCAGTGCCAATTTTGATAATTGTTGAAAAATATAATTAGAAAATTAGTACAGAAAAAAATATTAAAAATAAATAATTTCAGAAATGTCATTAGGGTTTTTTAGGGTTGCCCTAGCGTTTCTTTCTTTTATATATAAGATTAGACATATGTGTTCCACCAAAAATCTTACCCAAAACATATCTCGTCATTTGCAGCATTCTCTCTATCTTCTATGTTCTCTCTTTGTTTCTCTCGCTCTCTCTATACTTCTCACTTCCCTCTTTTCTTCTACGGCAAGAGACACGACACCGGCGACGCGGCGGCTGTTCCTGCTAGGGTAGACCACGGTTGTTACTAGGGCTATCGCTGGTGGCGCGCGGTGCAAGATGGCAACGGTACGAGCGACATCAATAACGCAACGGCGATTCGTTCTATGGTAGATGGTGCAATTTTGCTAGTGTTTGGCGGTGGTGGTTCGTTCTATGGTGGATGGAGGAATTTTGCTAGGGTTTTGCGGTGGCTCTTTCAGGAGTAATCAGCGGAGATCATTCTCCTAGGGTTTAGTCGTGCGCAGTACAAGATGGTGAATTTGTAGTTGTTTTTCGATAATTTGTGGTTGGTTTTCGGTTATTTTATAGTTGATTTCCGTGATTTTTGTAGTTGATTTCGATGATTTTAGTAGTTGATTTTGGTGATTTTGTTAATTCATTATAATTTTCTGTATAGTCGTTTTTGTTATAGTAAAAAAAATGTTTTCAATTGTACGTAATAAAACTATAGTTGATTATATAATAAAATTTTGTAGTTGATAAGTGTAATTTGCAGTTGAATACTGTAATGTGTAGTTGATTATGATTTAAGTAAAAAAGAAAAAAAATTAAAAAAAAATTATAGTTGATTATTGTAATTTGTAATTGTTTACAATGTGGTAAATTTGCGAGGAAAAAAAGACGAATTTATTAAAAAGAAAAAAAAGGTAGAAAATAAAAAAAGATGAGGAATTAGAATAATGTAAGAGTAAAATGAGATTGAGAAGTATGAGACTCTCTCAAATGCAAATAAGAAAATGAGTTTAGTTCTATTTTAAATTGCGATTTTCAATTTTTTATTTTTTATTGCAATAATATTTTATTGTTTCAAATAACTTTTATTATTTATTGAAACATGATCAATTAGAAAATGCAAACAAAAATTATAATTGGTTGTACATAAATACAAAGAAGTAGGGGAAAAAGAAAGAGAGAATAGAAATACGACCGGTCAAGAAAAATATATGTGTATGTGTGTGTGTGAGAGAGAGAGAGAGAGAGAGAGAGAGGGAGAGGGAGGAGAGCACATGAGAGTTGAGACAGATGTAGAAGAGGAGAGAGAAGATAGATAAAGTGATGTGTAATTTATTCACTTATTTAAATAAATCAATATTTGATATAAATATTAAAGGAGAATATTTATGTCCATATATATATAATTTTATTTAATTTTAGAGATTTTTTGATATACCCCGCAATACTTTTTTTAATAGAAAAATGTTCAAACTATATTGCATCATTTGAGAAAAATCCACTCCGAATTTCAGCCACCCATTTTTTTCATTTATGTCCATCCACCTTACACATTCCTATGACTCATCAGTCCACTATCCCCATGACCCATCCCGTGTCTCTTTTTTTTTTTCTAATAATAATAATAATATGAAATTATCATTATTATTATTATTATTATTAATATTATTAATTATAATTATTATTATTAATATTATTAATATTATTATTATTAAT